TTTTCGTTTGAGTATATGTTTATACTATAGTAACAACACAAATAATTAATTCTGACTTATAATTTTAGCTGAAAAGTCTTAGTTCAACTGAACTCAGTCAGAAATTACATATTTTGTGATGCATGAAGCAAAATGCACGAGTCTGACAGATTGCCAGTAGCAGCACTTTACTAAGCAATGGCTACCAGATGTATCTTCAGAAAGTAACCCAAGATGGTTATGAATTCATTTGAGCAGAAGCCAGTTAAACAAATATATGTTTGTGGTCCCATACACATGGAAGAACGTTGCATGAAGACATTTATGAGTTTGTTTAACACAAATTAATCAATTACATAATGAAGACGATGAGTAAGCCATATGTGATTGGTAATAAAGAATTTCATTTGGACATTAAATCATTGTGATATGAAGTTAATTCTGATTACTGACCTGTAATATATTATTATAAAATGCAGTGTACCTGTCATTTTCATTAATTCTCCTGAGAGAATGTTTCAATTTCAACACTGAAATATTTGGCAGATTGTGGATTTTCATGAAAATATAAGGGTAATAGAAAGATTCACAGTATGGTTGAGAGAAAATACGGTTTTATTTGTTGTTTTTTTCTTATAGTAGTGCAAGATATTCCGATTCTTTCGAATTTAAATGTTTATGAGTAGGTGTAATTACCAGTATTATATTAAACTCGCAAAGATTAGCTTAAATATCATTACAAATATACACTTTCTATACCTAGTGTTTTATTAGATTGTCATTAAATATTTTCAATCATGCAAGTTGAAATACTTAGGAAAGCAAACGTTTTCTAAAATTATTTTAGTATAAGGTGCAGTATAAAGTGTATATGTGTGTTTTTATAGCAAAATCACATTGAGCTATCCACTATGTCCACCAAATGGATTCGAAACCCTGATTTTAGTGTTGTAAATCCGTAAACTTACCACTGTCCCACCAGGAGACGTATAAAATGTATGAAAATGCAGATCGTAAGTGCTTTAGGGTAAGGTAGAAAGTAACATCC